CTAAATCCCCAAAACCCTAAATCCTAAACCCTGAGAACTAAATATACTATCCCAGTATCTCCCAGAAGGAGCCTGAGACAAGCTGACCAGGTCAGCAAGCATAGGCGCATATAGCTACTCTTAGCAAAGCCCCAAACCCTAAAAGGTGTTTTTTAGGGATAATGGAAAAGAAAATGGAAACTACTACATTATAATAGGGTTATATAGGGGTTATAGCTTCCCTAAGCCCTAAACCTTAAGCCCTAAATCGAAAATACTCCATCAGAAGGTGTACTGCAATACCGTGTTCCAACTGTTCACTCCACCTGATATATCCACTGGCCTTAGCTACATGTATGGACCCGCCCACACTAAGGGCTTATGGCTCCACACATAGAACCTAGAGACCAACCCTGGTTAGGGAAAGGACCTCCGGCTGCGCATTTGGCCCGCGGAATGTCCCACCACGACCCAAAGCACCTGAGACCTGAGCTGTAAAATAGAAAAGGAGTCCCCAGAATAAGGGGTAGACAATAATGTTGCGTGGTTTAGGGTTTAGGGAGTCAGGGGTTAGGGCTCTGGTTCAGGAATTTTCTGCAGAGTAGGGAAATGTGTTGAAGTGGCATAGGAGTGTAGGGGCGCAGAGGCTCCGCAAGCATAAAGGGGCCTGAAGGGTTCGCACGGCTTATATGGCCTCTCGAATTGCGCGGTCACCACAAGGTCCCAACAAACAATGCTTTCGGGCATCTAGATATGAAGGGTCCGTCTTCATAGGTTCATATGAGCCATTGTCTAAACTCCCGTTATCCGCCTAAATAGGCCCCAAAATAGTCCCCTTTTCTTATCCCCTCTTTCATCCCATATGGAAAGCTCCCGCCATGTTGAGGCATAAAAGGGACCCCTGCTTCGAAGCCCTCTTTCGAAACACGCCAGTTGGGGAGTTGCTAGGTTGCTGTTAAGGAACTTAAAATAAGTTACCATAATGGGTATATATGGTAAATGATAGGGTTCCCCCAGTATAGTAACTTAGATTAAACTCCTTAACAGCAACCCAGGTTGTAGTGGTGCGCCTCAAGTGGGGATCCCCCAGCCCAAAAAAAGCACTACTGTGGGGGGGGTTTAGGGTTTAGGATTTAGGGTTTAGGGTTTAGGGTTTAGGATTACCTGTATAAGCTTGAGGTCTGTTTGAAGTACCGCATACTAAAATTATACAGGGAATCTACGAACACAATGTTGGTAATTACCCGTATATTGCTCAATGGCCTACGGTATTGGGGCCTAGGGCTTTGGGTTCTTATGCGTAGTTCTTTACGGCTGAAACGGCGCAACTCACTTTCTGTAGCATGGCGCATTGGCGCAATCTCCAGGTTCTGCCTAAATTTGGGGTCCGCACGTAACAGCTGCTGAACTCCCACACTAAAACCCTAAACCATAAACCTTTACACCCCTAAACCCCACACGCTAAACCCTAAACCTTCGGAGCTCTAAACCCTGAACCCTAAACCCTGAAACCAATACCATGCCTTTGGGGGAGGACGGTTTGGTACGGGTAGGAGTTCATAAGTACCATGGCCCCCTGCGTGACAACCTACAGCCAATATCTTTGGGGGCGTCCATGTCTCAGACCCTTGGTGAACTGTACCCTATCCTTATACTACCCGCCGACCACGCGTCCCTGGAAACACCCGTAGCGTGTAGCGTAGTATCTACATCGTACAGAAAGCTGGCATAAACATGATACTGTAAGCCGGTATAGACTAGGGGGACATCTTTCTCTAATGCCTCTGTGGGGGATGGGGGGGGAGAAGGCGCAGCTGAACCCTTTAGCACCGGATCGGGGCTCATGAGCCTTGCTCGTCCATGTCATCACCACCCAAGCCAAACCATGCCTTGCGATCCACTGCCCAGAGCTAGCACAGTGCTGGGGTCGTCGATTGATGCCATCCGCTTGGTCATCTGCTGTGGCACTTTCAGCGCCTGCAGTATGATACACACCCCACCCCGTTCTCTTCGAATAAAGAGGGCCACCAGACTGCACAAGTTACCGTCATTGAGCAACGGTAGCTTGCCTACTGACCTTGCAGATTTCCACGAGAGAGGTCCTTCTCCAATCGTCGCTCCAGTGTGACATCTGTTGAGTTTGGGAGGGCTGAGGGTTGTTCTTTCGGGTTCTGGGCCTGAGAGGGGTATAGGGCATAAGACGTGGTGATTGTGGCTTGGAGAAGTAGGCTTCATGTTTTGAACGTCTCTTCTTCGGCAGTGCCGACATGGTAACTTCCCAAACTAAGGGGACCCTAATAGAGACCCCCAAAAATACTCCAGTCCTTATTGTGATCCCCCCACAAAGTACCAGCCCGCTTCCTTTGCCCTGAGTTCAAGAACAAAGCCTTTAGGAATTTAGGGGGTTTAAGGTTTGGAGTTCCTAAACCCTAAACCCTAAACCCTAAACCCTAAACCCTAAACTCGCTGTGTTTAACTCAAGCCCATTTGAAACCGAAGGAGCTGTCCATGGGTTCCAAGTATCCCTTGTATTACCCTCAGGGTTTAGGGTAGGGGCTTAGGGGTTTAGGATTTCGGATTAGGGTGTAGGGTTAGGATTTAGGAGGCTTCAGGGTTTAGGGTTGTAACCTGAGTTTCCATGTCATGCTCCATGTCATTGTTCAAACGATCTTCTATTGTTGGGCCGTCTTTCCCCTGTCATATCCCCATATACCCCTAGACCCGACACCCTGAACCCTGAAACCCTACGCCCGCCCTAAACCCCGAAACCTCCAAACCCCCAAACCCTCAACCCTAAACCATCAACTGGAGCCTCTGCTAGCGGCGCGCGGTGAGCTGGCAGAGGTTCTCCTTGCTCACATTTCCATGTGGTACATATTTTTCAAAAAAGATGATTACTGTTAGTACTATGGTTACAACTATGATTTTTATTACTGCTATTGCTATTTTATATGAGTAGTCTTAGTATTCTTACCATTACGATTATGATTCCTATGATTTATTACTTGCTCATTGTTTTTTTTTTTTTTTTGACTTCCTGCTGCACCTGCCTGACGGTAGGTCCAAAGGTCTCAAGGACTGAGCGGAACACACGTACCTGCTGCGGCGGCACCTCAGTC